GAAATCAGACAAGAGGTCAATTATATTGGAGAATCCTACACTTTGATTTAAAATTGAGTACTATTGACTTTAATCAGTTTTGCAAAAGTTGAAATTTGATACTCTTTTGGTAGCATATTACAGTATCATACAATGTAGACTTTTATTACTATTAAATTACCATTACCTGGTATCATATAATCTTAGCTATTATTAGAATTACATATTACTATACCACACATCTGTTGCTAGAGAGATTACTAATAATATCACTGAAAATATCCTAACTTTTTTTGGTTCGTGTATCGATAGGTGCTGTATTGATGGAGGGAGAGAAAGGCTCAACTTTGAGGCTAAGACCTTATCACTCACAACAGCAAACAATGGAGCAATCCTTAATCCATTATAGCTACCTAAGAGGAAGGGATGGGATGACAAGAAGATAGAGAGAGAGGGGGAAGAGAGTGAAAGAAAGTGTTGTGATGTGTGAGGTATTCATTCTATTGTCTACTTGTTCTTGTTGATAGTAAGCTAGCCATGTAGTAGCCAGTAAAACCAGGTGGTTGTGGTTTAATGGAGAAATTAAAATGAGCAACCAACAAAGACTGTAGAATAAAAGAAAAACCACTTCATGACACCTGCAGCCTTAGCCATTCACACAAATAATGTACTGTACCTCTTCACTGGCTAAGATTTCTTGAAGCTGTTGGACTGAAGTGATGTAGATAAATGGATATAGGATCCTGTGAACATGTTTCTCCTTTGAAAAAAAAACAAAAACATGAAAATTAGATTATATAAATCAGTAATGAATAATAATCCCATTAGGAAAACACAATGTACATGTACATAAATATTAAATTACATCCAAGTATTTATTATATGTGCTACATGTACATGTACATGTATGTGTGTTATTATTTACTAAAGCTGTCTTTGATTTCTTTCCAAAGTACTCCATCTTTTCGTTTGTGTATTTGTGATACACAAGAATACGAGGGTAAGGCCAAGTCTCTTCGTTCTGACGACACAAACCACCGACCCTCCAACAATCAATCCCAACAAAAGCAACCTACAGTACATTATTATTATTATTATTATTATTATTATTATTATTATTATTATTATTATTATCATTATTATTATCATCATTATGATAAAATAGAAAGAAGTAAGTAAGGGGCCTAAGAGACAATTATTATTATTATTATTATCATTATCATTATTATTATTATCATTATCATTATCATTATTATTATTATCATTATTATGTCTTACATTTGGTGTGTCACTAAAGGTCTGAGCTGTAGATGTGAATTGAGGAGCAAAGGACTGAGAATGAGAGCACCATCGAGCATACATCATTGTCACTACAACATCAAACCCACCAAGAACCCTAGTCAGGTTATAGGGCACTGAACCATCTTTAACATCCACAACAAAGGAGGAGGAGTCATTGGAGAAGACACTGGGGAGCTCATTAGGAAGACTATAGATCTCTTCTGTTCCTGCAGTACTGCGTAAGAACTAGGGGTACTTCAATGAATGGTATTGTAATACTTGAAATTGGAGAAAATTAAAGACAGGGCCAGGAAGACGATCCTTGCCAGTACCATGGCAGTTGCTACGTGTAGGACAGCGTTCAGACGAGGCCTAGAGACCCTCCTGGCTTCCTTCCTCTCTTGAATAGGCTCTGGAGACACTGGAAACTCGTCAGAATCATGGGCAGGAACAACCTCACTCATTGCCAAGAGAGAGACTTGACTTCATCACGTGGGTGCGCATTAATAAGAACAATGGCCCAATTGATTATCGGTTTAATGATTTTATACGTTGTACTAATTTAAGTTATTCATAATAATAATAATAATATTAATATTAGTATTATTACCATTATTGATACGAAAAGTCACACAAGATAAATTATAACAACAACACAATACCGGACTGAATCAACAAAGAAAGAGAGGGAGAGAGAGTGAAAGCAAAACAGTAACATTAATGGTTATTCATAATAATATATATAATCATTATAGTTAGTAGCACGTAAAGCTGAATAGTGTAAGGTTCAAGAGTAACACAAACAAAGAAAGAGAGAGAGATCGCAAGAGAAAGAAAGTCTATAATATTATTATGACATGAAGAGAGAAAATCGTGATACTATAATAATAATTATTACTACCATAAAACTCTCTCCTTTCATCTTAAAGAAGGTTTGCTGCTTCAAGATTCTCTCTTATAATTGTATCCAGTACAACTTTGAAGACGACACGAATGTTTGAGGTGTCAGTGGCAGTGGTGAAGTGAGGATAGACAATCTTGCTTTTGTTCAAGTTTCTTTCCATGAACATGGTCTGAATGAAGAGAGCAGCTTGTTCCACATCTCTCTCAGGACCTGGGGAGAGAGAGGGGAAAGAGGAGGAGAGAGAGAGAGAGGAAAGAGGAGAGAGAGAGAGAGGAAAGAGGAAGAGAAAGGGGGGGGGAAGAGGAGCAGGGGAGAGAGAGAAAGGAAGGAGAGAAACGGATACAGTCGGTGATTAAATTTGTTTTTCATTACAAAAAAGTCATTTTTAGGGAATCAGTCTTTGAAAGGGACTGTGATGAAATTGTCATTAATACTGAAATAACAAACAAGAGCTACACATGAGACAAACAGTGATAGAAGCTCACATCTTAAAAATGACACCGCAGGCAGCTGCACAACACTTTACATATACATTTACATGTACATTGTGGATTTAAATTGCAGATATAGGAGGAAGTAAAAATTACACAAAGAGATCAGTACAGTATACACAGAATCCTTATCATTACACTTTCAACTATACACACATCATAAAAGATTAGGAAGACTAATTAATAAGTACAGGCAGTGAATTCCTTCCATAAGAGAGAAACACAACTGTACAAATGGCCATCATCTAAGTGAGGTCCAGACCACATAAAAATAAACAAAAACCCAATGCCTATACCAATACACTAGCTAATGCAATGGACATGAAGACAAAATCAAAACATGGCAAATCAAATTAAACTGAAGGCCATCGCACGCAACATTTAACAGCCTTGTTCCACTAGAGTATAAAGAAAATTGGCAGCAAGCTTATACATGCTTAGCTTTCATTAGCCCTTATATTAGAAGGGTACACTCACTCAATTGCTGGCTACAAGCTGAAACAAGTGTTATGTGCTATACTCATGCTTCATAGCTACACACAAGTACGTGTGACTTCAGCTTTAAAAATAAATTAGCTTTAAAAATACATTTTGTTTCAGAAAGTGCTAATGACATATTTAACAATTACCACCTCTGGGATACATTAAAGCATATACTGTAAATCAACACAAATAAGGGCACCAGTACAGGATAGCACAGGCAAAAGCATGCACACACAATATAATGCAAGACAAAAGTAGATGTATATGAAACACAACTCTAATAGTCTAATAACAACAACAGGTGACAATTAAATGTGGATTCTTCAGTCAGAAATTCGATACTGTTCTTTACAAAGTACATGCATGTACTGTATTTATTACACATGAGCTCATAAAGACTAAAATTCAAATTATTACATATATGAAATTTACACCCGATTAATGTAGGCACTACTATATTACATCACATGACATCACTGCGAGCCACACCTACCTGTATACTGAGGAAAGAAGAGGCGTAGGTGTCTCTCGGCAGTGCAGAGCTTCTCACGGAACAGATCAACTTTGTTCAAGAACAGTATCTGGGATTAGATTAATGGATAAGAATGTAAACATGTATACTCAATCCGTATAAGGTTCACCATTGATGTCTTGATAAAAAACTTGTTATTACAGATAGCTTGGAAGAGATTGAGGGACTCCTCAAGACGGTTCTAAAAACAAGAGGCCATGCAATAAATAGCACTTCAATATAATCATTTCTCTTCTCCTCCCTCCCCCCCCTCATCTCTCTCTCTCTCTCTTACAGTCTTCCCATCTTCAAAGAGTGTCATGTCATATCCACTCAGAGCACACACAAACAAGACAGCTCTCACGTCATCAAAGCATTGGATCCATTTCCTACGCTCTGACCTCTGGCCTCCTACGTCGACGACCCTGAAGCAATTGAAGGAGAAGAATAAAAAATAGAATACAGTGTTTATATGTTGATAAAAGTTAATGCAAATAGAAAACAAGACAGCATTAGGAATGCTTCTTACTAAGAAATGTTTATTGGAAGAAGAGGCAGACAAGAATGATATAATATTACTAACTTAAAGAATAATGGTGAGTAATTAGGCATGCATGATCAACCATGGTATATATTTCCTACTATTGACTGGATTACCAACTCTTGCTACTACTATTGAATGGATTACACTAATTAGGGGAGTTTTACAATCCACATAGCAGGTGCAGATTTACTATAAATTAAGTGCAACTATTACAACATGGAGTCCAAGAACATATAAAATACAAATAATTATACTTACGTGTACGTGTACATGTACACACCCTGTACATGTACTACGCAAAAATATCACACCTACTACCATGTATTCAAGTTCTTTACCTGTAAGTCAATTTCCCGACTTTAAATGAAGTCTCAATGATTCCTGTTGTCTGGACACGCGAGTGCAACACGTCAAGCTCGGTGGGGGTGTAACCAGGAGTCAATATGCGCTCAATTTCAGAGAAATAGCTACATGATGTAACAGGAAAGATCTTAAACATTTAATCAGAATTTTAAACAACAATAAAGACATAACAAAAGTACACGTATAATCATAACTCATAGCATTCACAGCTGTCATTTTAAAGCTTTATAAGTAGACCATTGATCATGTCATTTTTTAATTAATTTAATTAACTCACTAAGGGGCGGAGTCATTGAGCTGGTACTCGTAGGCCCGAGCATAGCAGTCCTTGACTCCCTGGTCTGCCCATAGGCTCTGGAATGCATCAATGACTTCTGCAGGAAGAGCATCATAAGTTGGTAAACTTGTTATGACATTTAAAAGAACTTCAGCCTTCTCCTATAAAGAGACAAAGAGAGAAAGAGAGGGGGGAGGGAATTATATCATGTGCAATATTCAGTAACTACGAGACTGTGCCATTATTTTGACTAACCTCGTTATCAGGGTTATCGAACTTCATATCCAATTTGGGCATGTTTTGAATGACAACGCGGAGAGAGGAAGCAAGGTTGCTAAATATAACAGGCTGTACGTGTGAACCAGGAAGAAAAATAATAACATAATAGCAACTTGTTTAATTAATAAATAAGGAGTCAAATCTTCCATCTTTAGTCTCACTTTCTCCTCTCTCTCTCTCTCTCTCTCTCTCTCTCTCTCACCCTGTAAGTTTCCAGCTCTTGTGGTGTGAATCCATCTCCGTGGATAATTTTCATTTGCTTCACAACAGTACTCTTACCAGATTCACCAGCACCTGGAGAGAGGGGGGGGGAGGAGAAGGAAAAAAGAGGCTCTTGGAATAACTGTTACATTACACCTAGATGCATCACCTCCACCCACACACACACACACACACAGTCACTCACTTGTGGCTATTTTTAGTAACAACACAGCTAGATTCTAATAATACACAAACCACTAAACCCATTTTAATCCCATTACATTATTTATACTTGGCTGTACACAAAACGGGCACATGTGTACAATACATGCATGTACATATACATCTACATGTACTGTATATTTTCACACACCCACTTACCCAGTAAAAGGATTTTCACTGTGTTTTCATACTCTTTTGCAGCCTTTCTTAAATCACGTTCTATCTCTGTGTTCCTCTGCTTTTGCTCTCTTTCCTCAGCACTGACGCTCATACAACCACCCATGACTCTTTATTTGGTATATTCTCCTTTGTTATTTGATTTTCGGGCCCTTGATGACACGGCGGGTGTAAAGCGGAGAGAAATCTATCCTATATCTTGTTGTCTGTCTTTCACCTCTTAGACAGGTCCTTGAGGGTAACAAGAGAAGACACGAGAGGGCTTTCTTCTTTTCAAAAGTGTGAAGAAGAGAAGGAGAAGTTGCTGTGGTTGGTTGTTCGATTTGCCAGATTAGTGACGTGACCACACCTATCGAGTCAACCAGTATACGGAGATAAACAAAGCCGTTAAACTCTATTTCAGATGGGTGTGGTTAACGTGTTGACCACACCCATTTAATAGTGTTTATCGATTGTCCTTCATCTTCTTTCTTCATTCTCTCTCTTTCTTTCTTTCTTTCCCCCTCTCATGGAATGGCTGATCACATGTCAGTCCCCGGTGATCTAGATGGCCCTTGTTCAACTCTAACCACCACACAACCGGAGTCGCCAAAGATTCCGTTCCACAAGAAAATTCTACTCAAAGTTCACCAATTGCGTTCCAACAGGAGACTATGCGATGTCGTCCTGAGAGCCGGGGATACCGAGATACCCTCTCACCGCTCCATCCTCGCCGCTGTCAGCTCTTACTTCACTGCCATGTTTACTCACGAGTTGATGGAGAGCCGCCAAGAAGTGATTGAGATAAAAGACATGCCTGGCCACGTACTCTCCTCTCTCATAGATTTCGCCTACACTGGCGATATAGAGCTAAATGTTGACAATGTCCAGGAAATACTCTCTGCATCGTCTCTTTTACAGATACACGAAGTCCAGGATCTCTGTTGTTCTTTTCTCATGAAGCAGCTTGACGTCTCCAATTGTCTCGGGATTAAGACTTTTGTTGAGGCTAATGGCTGCCCTCAAAAAATCACAAGCGACATAGACAGATTCGCCTGTCGTCACTTTCAACAAGTGGCCATGGGGACAGAGTTTCTGAGTAGCTCCTCGGAGAACGTTAGCTCTCTCGTGTCAAGTCTTGATCTCAAAGTCTCTAATGAAGAGGAGGTGTATACTGCCGTCATTGAATGGATCAAACAAGACCCTGAGGAGCGCAAGACCCACCTCCCCTCCCTCCTCTCTCACGTACGTCTCCCCATGCTCTCTGTGTCTTACTTAATGGAGAAAGTTGATACAGAGCCTTTAATTCGAGATCAGCCAGAGTGCAGGGATTTACTGGACGAAGCGAAGAGACACCACCTCTTGCCCCATCAGAGGGACATACGATCCCCTATCCCTCGTTTTCACCCACGCAAGAGTACAGTCGGTATCCTTTATGCCGTGGGTGGTAAAGAATCCTCGGAGAGCATCACCCGATCGGTTGAGATATACTCTTTATTGGATGACAGCTGGACTGAAGCTACTGGTATGATAGTGCGCCGACAGCAATTAGGTGTGGGCGTTTTAGATGGCAAAGTTTACGCAGTGGGCGGGTCTGATGGTTCTCTGAGACTCAGCAGTGTCGAGTGTTTTGATCCGGCGACTAATTTCTGGTCTTTCGTAGCACCCATGGGTACCTGTCGCTCTGGAGTGGGCGTGGGTGTACTGGGCGGGGCCATGTGTGCTGCAGGTGGTTACGACGGTCGCTCATGTCTTAACACTGTCGAACGGTTTGATCCTGACAAGAATCTCTGGAGCAACATTGCTCACATGAGCACTAGGCGGAGCTTCCCGGGCGTGGCAGTGTACGACGGTCAACTTTATGTCTTTGGTGGGAACGATGGGACTTCGTTTTTAAGTATCGTTGAGCGGTACGACCCTCACATAAACCGCTGGCTTACCATACCCTCCCTTAACAAACCAAGAGCTGGGATAGGCGTCGCTGTACTTGGAAGTCAGATATTTGTTGCCGGGGGCAATGATGGCACCTCTCGCCTCGACTCTGTAGAGTTTCTGGACATTCGTACAAATGCCTGGCAAACCGTAGCTCCAATGAGATCGGCTCGTGATGGCGTCTCACTCTGTGCTCTGGGTAACCAGTTGATTGCTGTAGGCGGTATCAATGGGCCCTCTTATCTCCGATCAGCTGAGCTTTATGATCCTGTTAGCAACTCATGGGAGGATCTTAAGTCCATGCAGACGTGTAGAGCCGCGGCTGGTGTAGCTGTCATTAAATGTTGAAAACTTGTTTATAGACAAAATTGACTCGTTTATGATATTTATATTATTATTACTAGAGTGACTATTTGTAGCGAAACTAACGGAGTACTATTAGTGAAAATAACTGCATTATCATCGCACTCTCTCTATCTGTTTCTCTTTTTCTTTTTGTTGATTTTTTCCTATTGCATTCTATGCATATATTCATTGTTATTGTTTCAATTTCCTCCACTAGTTCTGTTATTAATTATAATATCAATGCTATATTATCAGAAAAAGGTCTCTCTATCAACTAATTCTTGATCTTCATCTTCATCCTCATCATCTTCAATTGTTAGTCCTGTTGCTGCTGCTAGCAGGACTTCTGATGAATCTCTTGACGCAAACTTCCTTGCCAGTTCGGCTCTAAATGGATCCTCCTCCTCCTGTCTGAAGGTTCTTGGCGATGACCTTTGACCTTTAGGCTACATTAAAATGAATATATGATCATACAAAAGTCGACATATACCAATTTCAATTGTTGTCTTCTCATTTTTTCCGACTCTTCATGCTCTGCCCTTTTAATGTTCGACAGCACTCTCTATATGTACATAGATATGGAGTACGTCCACTATATAATGTACAAAAATGCCTTACATCAAAATCAGTCATGAATGTAGCAAATATGATAAAGAATTCGTCAATTTGAAGCTTTGACGAGTCTTCCCCAAAAAACTGAGTGGCTTTACTGAATTCTGATTTCATTTGAGTATACAGCTTAATGAGTGAGCTCATTTCCTTTTCTGCATTCTTAATGAAGGGCTGCACACACAAGTGACAATAGATAAGGGATAATGGGTACATTTTGCATTCATTATCATACCGTCATGACTGCAGTGAATTGATCAGAGGGGTCAGAAGACCTAGCAATAGTTTGAACTGTCTTTTGGAGTTCCTATACACAATTGCACTATCATAAGTATGTGGCTAACAAACATCCTCCATTACCGTTAAGCCATCTTGAAGTTCAGCTACTTCTTGCTCCAATGTTTCACCAGAAACTGGGTAAGGATGAGAGAGAGAGAGAGAGTACAAGTGACAGGGAGAGAGTTAATGCAATGGGAATGAGATCAGAGGATGTTGTGCAATTGATAATGTGTAATTTACTACACCTCTAGCTGCCACTTTGACTGTTTTCAAATCGGTTGGGAAGTCCTGGACTAGTGGATATTTGTTGATAATAGTCTTGACAAGGAAATGAAGTAAAGTTGACTTTCCATCATTTGTCTTGTGATCCTTAAGCTAATGGAAACAGTCACAAGATTCCATTAAAGGTGAGTTCCAAAAACAACAAAAACACTTTCATTACTTTTGATATGAAGTGGATTCTAAACCCTTCAGCTTTGTACCCCACATTCATGTAATTCCCAATACTCAGCACTAGCTGTAAATGAGTTATAAAATAAGAAACATGAAGCAAAGTTTTTTACTTCAAATATCTTTTTTAGTTTTCGATTTTCACATAACTCTTGTGATGCAAGTATGATTGAATTGAGGTCCTATTCAGAATAAATAATAATAATAATAACAATAATAATAATATTTATAACAGTGCTCTGGCTTAACTGGTTTCACTTCATCCAACTTCTCAAAGAAATGAAGTTTAAAAATCATAGCTTGAAGCCTCTCCCGATACTGAGGTATCTGACTCATCTACATGTATGTAGCATTACAACAAAATGGACCTCCTCATCAATACTTGGCTATTAACTCACAATGCAGGAAAACTGGTCAGCAGGACCAAGCTTTGACATATCCTCATAATACTCCTTATATTCTGAGCACTATGTAAGTACGTGTATAATAATAACAATGATGATGATAATGATAATATTAAATGTATACTTCTTTTTTGTCTGGAGCATATTTCTCCATCTGCTGTAGCCTCTCTATTGAGAGTAAGTGAGTGTTGCATGAAAACACTGCTCTCCTTACATCATCATAAGAGACTCTTAAATGACCCAGCAGTATAGCTAGAAAAGGAATAATGGTTTACATGCACTGAAAACACACAAACACATGCTCATTGAGCATTTCCTTACATATGTTGTATGCTTTCCTTGGATCCAAAACTTTAAGTTGATCAATAGATTTGGTGCTATTAGCAGCTAAACAAAAACAAACATTGCATTTATATACACACACACATATGCATGCTCAAGGGCTGCTAATAGGATTCTGATAGTACCACACACAGGTGATATGTTAGCCCATACCTCTCTTTGGTGTTTGGCTTGAAAACTGATCATCAAGCTCAGAGTATTTCAATACCTCCTCTAAACCACTCAGCTGTAGAATTAAAAAAAAGATATCCGTTATAGTAATACTGTATATGATGTCTCTCACTTCTCTCCATATTGTTCCTTCAACGGTTGGTCCATGCAACTTGTCCCAGTTGACATGCTTGAACTTTGATGGTGTCTGGCCTTGAGCTCCTAAAGCAGGAGGGGGAGGAGGAGGAGGAGGAGGAGGAGGAGGGGGAGGAGAAGCTCCTGTTGGTACTGCTAGTGATGGAACCTTTGTTGATTTATTGGCTGTTTCTAAAATTATTCTTATTATTATCTTTATGTAATCATTATCACTTGCCTGATGATGATTGGGATTTGGTTTTTGAGAGTGTTTTCTTTTTTAGTGCATCAGCAAGAGACGTGGACGGAGGAGGTAGAGGGTGAGAGAGGGAAGAAGGAGGAGGGAGAGGAGGAGGAAGAGTAAGAGGAGAGAGTAAAGAGTGAGATGGAGGAGGAAGGAGAGAAGGAAGAGGATGAATATTTGAAGGAGTACGTGTTGAGTGAGTGAGGGAGGACGGGGGGAGGGGGGAATGAGAGGGAGGAGATAATGAAGAGGATTTGACAGGAAGAGTGTACGGAGAGAAAGGTTTCTCATTAGGTGGAATCGATGGCAGAGGACGACCAGAGAAGTGTCTTTCATTGAAGAAAGGTGAAGATGATCCAATTCTCGTATCTGATAGGCCCTCCTGCTGTCTGCTAGTAATGCCACCATATATGGTATCTGAAATTAAATTATGTTATGTAGTACGTGCGGATTGAATTACTAACCATGTGCAACTGCCTTTGATGCAAGCTGGTCGAACTCTGATTGACTCTCCTCGGGTAGTAGTTGGCAAATGTGATGAAAGAGAATGTGCTTCTTTGGCTCATTTAATACATCGTGCAATGCATCCACTAGCCCTGGAAGATCTCTATAAGAAAGGCAGTTAAGGTCTAGTTTTTCTTTTCCCTCACCTTGATTTTGAAAATTCTGTCAAACTGTGTCTCACTGACTGTCTCTCCTCCTTTATCAGCCCAACTCGTCCCATCTATGATAAACAAAGTCGCATAGTACATTCTTATAGTCTCATTACCTTTTCTCTCAGTGCTACATTCTGTGCCTTTACTTCACTGTAATAGTTGTCTTTTGCCTGCTGTGTAAAGACTCCTGCAGGTGTAGGAGGAGATGAACAAAGGAGAAGTGATGGATGAGATCCACTTCCTTTCAGTAGATGCACTACTCTTGAGTGTGTGGCTGACCTTTATAGTTTAAACAAAATAATAATAATTATACTACAGTAGCTCCATATGTCTCACCTAACATCTTCATTGTTGATTCCAATGATGAAATCCCCAGGTTCCACTCCAGCTCTAGCAGCAGCTGAAGCAGTATCTACCGATCTAATGTATACTGGAGCATTCCCACTCAGTGAGAAACCAAACCCACCATCACCTCTATGGACTATAACTGAGTGACAATCCTCTTCATTACTATAATAATGAGGGAGAGAAAAGAGAGTAAAGGAGAAGAATTTTGAATAAAGTATATCATCATTGCTTTACATTGTCGTAATTGTTTGTGAATGTGGTGTTTGCTTTTTGAATGGTTCATAAGAAAGAAGTGAATCAAATCTTGTCAAATCCCTTGGTTGAAGCAAAGTCCTGGTAAATTAATAAAAAGAAACGGGAAATGTATTCAAAGTATAGATGTACCTACCTAACATCAGATAGTATTCTTCTGTCAATGTCTGTTTCTAATAGCATGTACAAGCCCCGCCCAAAGCTTTCAATGTCCCTGTTGGCATAATAATGGTTGAGGAGGGCCAGTAGCTGTCTCTTTTTCGTCTCATCATCTTGAAAATAATAATTAAGCTACATATACAGCAAAAAACATTATAAAATTAATTTCAGTGAGAGACCAAGAGACAAAGCAATTGTATACCTTCTCATAGAAAGCTTTAGCTCTTCCTTTCTTTGACTTTCGTCTGCTCTTGATGCTAGCACTTCCTTCTGACACTACAACCAGTGACAATACTGACCCTGTTAATCTTATCAATTCGGAAACTTCTTTCTTTGATGTGTATCGAACATTAATACCTTTAAAGAAAACAAGAATCCCAAAGTGAACATACATAACCAAATATAAATACTACTATGCACGTTTTATGCACTGCATGCAATTTAGAGTCCAAATATGTTTGGTGTAAATAACTGAACATGAGATTCTTGCATGTCTGCATAGTGTAAAAATAATCTGATTCTTGCATATACACATTCAGTGCAATAATCAATTCTAACTTTACCATTAACTTCAAGCAAGAGGTCTCCAGATCTCAGCCCCAGTTCGTGTGCCGGACTATCAAAATCCACCGACCGTATGTAGACCGGACAGTCTCCTCTCAGAGTCAGACCAAAATCATCTTCCTTGTCTTCTTCTTCTTCGCTGGCCTCCTGTCGCCGTGGCAACTCGTACAGTCGCACGTGTGACTTTACCATCAAGCTTGGTGGGACCTAATTTAAGGAATGCCAAACAATATGTTACAGTAATCTATGCAGCAGGCCTGGGGCCAATTGCAATTGTAATTGAGGCTTAAGCTCGAACAGAATGTAATTGGAATTTTTATCAAAATTGAGATATCAGGGTACTGACTACTGTCTCCTCAATACAGATACAGGAAAAAATATTTTCAGCAACATTACATGATCATGTATACATGCACTGTATGCATGTAAAGTGAAGTATGACAGTCAGGGTTTCCCAGTATAGTTCTTCCCAGCTCATGAGGTGTGCTGTTTAGCTTGCTCAGTAGAGCTTTGTAGGAAACCCTGATCCATGGTACTTTGTCAAAAATGATTATCCTTTTTTATAATTTTTTCTGATGCACATACATGTACTATGTCGTGAACTGATTCCAATCAAGTTTGTATTTTTTATGAATTTCTAAAGTTGCTCAAAAATTAGGCCAAAGTCCATGTACTACAGTACAGGGATTTTGGCCGAATTTCGTCAAAAATGAAAAGGAGGGAAGTTTCTATTTTCATAATTTTTCTGATGTATATACATGTACTTATGTTGTGTAGAAAGTTTGAGTGGAGTTCAGTCAAAATTAAATTTGTTATGAATTTTCAAATTTTGTCAAAATTGGCCAATAACTTGACGTGGGGAAGAGCTATTACCTTTTCTGCTTTGTGTGCTCTAGCAATGACATCCTCTACACTCCATTCGCTCACGTCTTCTCCATCAAGTTCAACTAGCAGATCCCCTACCTGGAGGAAAGAAACATTAGTTTATTATACATAAAATATATACTAGTTTAAAAAACAGAGTATGGACTATTATTGCAGTATTCTTTAATACCTGTAGCCCGGATTCTTCCGCACTTCCACCATCTTCTACCCAGTCAATGATGCACGGAGCTCCATAGCTCATAGAGAAACCAAAAGCCTCAGGCCATCCTTCATTAGTAGCCATTTGAATTGTTCACACACAAATATCCAGCCCCACCCTATGTATGCAAAGCTACTTGAGCCACGCCCATAACTTGACGCCCACACATAGAAATAAAATTCGTGTATATTGTGCTATATAAAATCATGATAAACAGTAATAAGAATTTAAAAAAGAGACACACAAACACACACACACCCCTCATTTTATTAATCATCATCTTCATAGCAGCAACAGAAGATGCACAGCAGTATGCAGCCTGCAACACAACACCCTATACCAACACAAGGCCACACTAGACACCACATCAGTACAAGCAACCAGCACCTTAAGAAACCAGTTCCTCTACAGTCATACCATTTACCACTCGTTGCCTCTCTATATCCGGTCCAATATGTCTTCCGGTGACAGCAGCAGTGGTAGACGTTCTTTGGATGACATATGCACTTGTTTTTGTATCTCCACCAATGGGGGTTATTCATATATTCTGGAGTAGAGGACCTGTTTCTTCTTCCGCCGTAATAATAACTATCATCATCACTGTATCTTCTGATTCCATTGAAAGAGCCTGTAGGCGATATGCGACCTTCCTTAGCTGTGTGAGAGGAGGGGAGAGAGAGAGAGAGAGGGAGTGAGTAAGGTATGCAAGAATTAGTAAATAGAGAAGAAATGAATGACCCGCCAATTACATAAAGCACAAACAAAGAGTAGAAAGGAATTTAGGGACAAGATCAAAGGATAAAGTGAATACAACAATCAAGGTATAGGCGACACATAAATAACAAAATTACTGATATTGTCAAGTTTACATAAACCCGACCTTCACCTTCAACTGGGACTGCTGGAGTGATGCTATCTATCTTTGGCAAAGGAGCAATGTCTGGTCCCAGGACGCGATTAGCTTCATCGTAAGCAGGAGGTAGACTGGCTGTACTGAATTGAAATTCTAACTGTTGCTCTGTAATAATAATAATAATAATAACAATAATAATAATAATAATAATAATAATAATAATAATAAATAATAATAATAATAAATAATAATAATAATAATAATAATAATAAGAGAGGCTATCAGTTCAGCATGCAACAATATTAAACAAAGAAATAATAACAAACAATCTCTCAAGCCATTTAGCATTTTGTTATTCTCAAGAGGCGTACAAGGAACAAATTAACTACTTTAAATTATTTATTTGTCTCCCAGGATCAATAACTATGTATTATTGAAAAACATTGAAAAACTTCAGTTTAGATATTTCTCATTTACAGTTTATACTTTTTCCTTCTTTCACTAATCACTGTTTGTTTAGACTGATCCATGCATTATAAGTTATGACATAAAGCATTATTATTAGTAGCATATATAATATATATTTATTTATCTTCTTTATTTCTTACTCTTTCCTAAAGCAGGAGTGAGGACTGTATCCCTGGCTAATGTAAAACTATTGACAGCATCAACTATACTAGTAAAAGACTCTAACTAAAGAGGATATGATATTCATAATGTATATAGATCTATTATATTTACTTACTTGTCCATCTAATTGGTATTGATTACTCTCATTCTTTCTAATCTGTAAATGCTCAATCGTTTCGTTTTCCTTTGAAAATCTAGCAGGAATTATTAGAAAATACCCCCCACCAGTTGCCAGACCCATACCTAGCCGAGAGGTAGTATTGATCCGATGGGGTCTTGTGTACTATGAAGACGTTGTTTTCAGTGCAATTTTGAAGCAAATCTTTCGCTCCTTCTGTGCTAAACTCTCCAAGATACCACCTAATGGTGAGAACTAATAGAGAGAGGCAGTAGAGACCTGTGAGACCCTCACCCTTGCTTTCTTAAGAGGTCATTTTCACTCTCTTCCTCCTCCTTCTGATCAGCCATTTTTAATTAAAAGGCGGAGCCTGGTTTTTGTGGGCGGGGTTTAATTTTAACTCTTCTTGTCACGTGATAAAAAAATCAAAATGGCGTCTGAATGGTAAGAAGCAATTTGAATTATCCTTTATCTCTTTGTTCCTGTTGCAGGAAGCCAAGAGTGAGACAGTATCAGTTAGAGACTAGCAGAATCGAGTGTCCGTTGGAAGACTGTCCTCCTGAAGAACATCCACTCAAAGCAATAGTGAGTTTATAAGAGCCACACCCACCCCTCACTCTCTCTACCCCAGGTCGTGGAGACCATACAAGCAAAGAAAGCAGACAAGAAGAGCAAGAAAGATAAAGATGAGCCAGCGATAGTCGACCCACTGAGTACAAAAGAAGAGATAGTAGATCCACTGAGTCAGGCATCGATTGATCCACTAAGCCAGGCTATATCCGATCCCTTGAGTGCAGTACTCACCGACAGTGTTAAGATAGGATCAACTTTTGGAGCTCCTGTGTCTAAGGTTTGCTAAAAAGGTTTTTTGTTTGGATTTAATGAGGATGTGTGTGTGTGTGTGTGCTTTCATAGGAGGAAGATAGGGATATAACTTTTGAGCCATGGTCATCAAAACGAACTGGGATACTTGAGAAATATACAACCTCAGAAAAGATACCAATCACAACCGTGAGATTTTTTATTATTTTAAAATTATGTTTAGTTTTTTGCTAGAGTTTCCTGTCTAACGAGGAACGTCAAAAACGTAAGAAAAGAAATTGAAATTATAAAATTAGTTTTGCTTTCCCTCTTTTTTCTCTCTCCCAGTGGAAACAAGAGCTACTGCTGTGATGGAGGCTGACAAAGTGAAGCACAGACTGGAGCAACTGGACGATTTGGAAGACGGTGGGCAGCAAGAGACCCTCAACCTCTCACAGAAGGAATACATCCGCAAGATTGACACCATGAACAGGTCCTTGACTGACGCCTGGCAGAGAGATCAGCGAGTCATGTCACTCAAAATAACAATACAGGTTAGTGACTCTGCCCCTTCTGGGACGAACCACTTTCGTGCTGTATTTTTTCTAGTGTTCAAAGTTGTTGGCTGACAATGGAGTCATTCATTTCTATCCTAGCAAGTTTGTTCTCATTACGGACATATTGGATAACTTTGGTAAGAATATGAAGGAGATTAAGTGAGAACGAGAGTGCTTTAAATACATGAAATACTTGTATTTTTGGAAAAAATACTTATCGAATTTTTGTATACTTATTGTGATTCTTTTTTTGATTTTTAGGTAATTTAGTTTTTGAAAGGATACGTGAGAAGTCGGCCTATACTCCTCCAAACTCATCAAAATCTATTGAATTGCCAAGTGAGTTTCTTGATAAATAAATATTTTCAAGAGTCTCAAATGTAGCTCAGGTTCAAAATTGATCTCATTAATTTTTCTCTGATACATGTACATGTTTTTATTGTTCTTATCTCTTGTGTAAAAGTTTGATCAGAGTTAGATTTTTAGAAATTTTTGAAGTTGCTTGAAAAATTGGACATGAGATTTATGTGATTTTCATCAAAATTGACCAAGAGAGAATTCTCAATTTTTATAATTTTTCTGATACATATACATGTTCTTATGTTGTGTAGCAAGTTTGAGCTGATTCCGATCAAAATTGGATTTTTTACAATTTTTTGAAGTTGCTGTATCTGCTAGTGCTTGTCAGTAAACATGCTGTTTAATTGGCCTCGCCTACGCGAGGTATAGGTAGTTGTTGTGTGTGTCTGTCATTCATTCATTCATTCATTCATTCTGTACAACTGAAATTTGTTTTTAATAAACAATAACTTTAGCACAGCGTGTTCTAAGCTCCTAGATCTTTCTTTTTGACGTGGAAAAGTCTTTCTTAACTGTTTTGTGTTGCTCAAATACAAGTGCTAGGTACAGAAGCTTCAAAGTAAGAAAATCGAGTAGTTGGGCCAAGTTCCGTTGTGTTGGCACTTTAGAGATAGCTGGTAGCATTTTTCAGTAGATTAGAACATGGCCTTCAAAAATTATGAACAGATTTCTCTAAATCTTACTTGATGAAGAGTTATACTTACTTGAAATTGTTGAGGTCACTCGTTTGTGCAGCGCTAGAGCAACAACTTGCTGGGTTATAGGTACTAAAGTACCTATACTATCTCAAATATACAAAGGCAGCAACTTTTTTTGTCAGCAAGTTTATCATATATTGCTGATTAGTAAAGGAAAAGTGAAGCTTCTTTCTCACATGGTCTTCTTGCTGCCACTCATTCCAGTCATGGAATGCCACACCTTTCAATCTACATGCATGGGAGGGGCTGGAGCTGCTTGCATGTATGTGCTGCAGTGCTGCTACTTCTGCATTTATTCAAGAGGAAGTGCAACTGTAGGAAGCTAGTGTTGAGCAGACTCTCTTCATGCTGATAATCAAACAGTTATTGAAGTGCGGGCATGCACCATAGCAGCTATAGGGGCGAGGCCATGCACCGTAGGTGTCTCGTTTACTTAGCATGTTTATTCATCACATGTAATGCTTACTTTATTATCTACTTGACCCCACGTATAATCTTCTCTCTTTTTTTTAGAAAATTTCAGTCCAGAGCAGGTCCCAGAGTCAGCCAAGGAAACCTGTCGCAATTGGTTCTTTAAGATAGCTTCCATCAGGGAGCTTGTACCAAGATTGTATCCCACTTATAGCTTTATGTTTTTTAAGTCCTTTCTACACTAGCATTTCTAATGCACATTGAACTGGTTTGAAACTGGATCCAGTCGTGGATTATGCCAAACCACCTCCATAGTGGTTTGAATGCCCATTCAATAGACAACCAATGGCAGCTGGATCAGAAATGCTATCAAAATGTACAAGATCCTAAAAAGAATCACTTGATGTGCTAAACCCAGTTCAAACTGCATTGCAAGTGTAGAAAGGCCTTTAAATCCCCTCACTTTCCCACCTTTTATTATCCTATAAATGATCCACACTTTTGTTATCCTTTACTGTCATTGCAATACAGTTATGTTGAAGCTGCTTTGTTGAACTGCTATCGGTTTTTGACTGATCAAGAGTTCACTCAAGCCCTGATCCGTCTCACTAAAATGACACGAGGTATCGGCGACCCTCTAGTTGCCGCCTACGCTAGGGCCTACCTTTGCAGAGTGAGTGTAACACTTCGTTATTTTCAGCTTTCTTCTCCTCTTAGGTTGGTCAAACTGTTGCCACTTCTGGTCGAGAATATGTTGTAATTAATTTCACGGACTATCTTAACACCTTTTCACAAGTAATTCCGCTGAATCCATTCCATTTACATGTGCTTTCTCTCTCAATGTGTAGCTCAATTCTGATTTCGTTCAAAACATTTTAGCCGTTCAAAGCCTTGACATGTCAAAGTACCTAAGGTTGTTTGTCCCAGCAGTTGAGTGGATACTCCAATGCGTGGCTCACAAGGGAACTGAGGTATATGAAATAAAAACAAAAACCAATCTACTATTCTTACTTACGTAGAAATTATTGGAAGAAGTCATTGGTTTGATTAAAGAGAAGACTTCCAGTGGTCTGGTCTACAATGCTCTCATTTCATCTTTTGATCCACGCTTCATTTCAAAAAGAGCACTAGAGTTTGCTGACCTCATAAAGGACTCTGAGGAAACTGTTGTTTCTAAAGTACACATGCAATGCTGTCTCTACGTGTATAATAATTACTGTTGATGTATAGACTGTAATGTCTTATACTTCATATTTTTATTGTGTTTTTTTTTCTTGTAGTACGAATTGTACGTGTCACTTGGGAATTGTGTGGTGATTGTTGATCCTCCAGAAAAGCAGAGAATGCCTTTATTGAATAATGTACGTGTGCCATATTTAAATTTTATCTTCCTGTACATGTACATGTACACATAATTTTCATCTTACATGTAAATTTATATACATGTCTATGTAGGTGTGGAAACCAGTCATGAAGTTAGAAGATCCCTCCCAGTACATTTCTTGTGCTCAAGTTTGGATAGAATATGTCGCCAAACATTTTACCGTGAGTGGGTGTGGTCACTTGTATATGTACATGTATCTCGTCTGTGTAGAGGAAAGAGGTCAACACGCTCCTCGGCGATATCATAAAGCACATGATGCCTGGCAAAGCTTTTGAGGATCATTATTCTGAGATATTATCAATCGTCAATAAAATATTACCTTATTTCACCGATTTCTCACAGCTATTTTCTATGGTAAGTGATATAATGTACTTGCATATTGTTATTATTTTTTTAATTATAATTATTTCAAAAAGGACAAATTCCTGCCCTACATTGATTTATGTCAGAAAGAATCTGTGAAAGTTGAGGCCAGTAAAAACATTGTCAGATCATTCACAGTGTAAGCCACACCCACTGCCACGCCCCCTAATTATGCTCCCTGATCCTAGTAAACAGACAACTGATACCAATGACCCGTTGATCATCAATGGAATGATGTATTTGTGTAAGATACTACACGATTCACTTGAGTGAGTTTATAATATTATTATTTTATTAATAATAATTTATTAATCTTTAAAAATCAATTATTAACCTTTCCCCAGTGCTATGAGTTTGAATGATGATAGGAGACAGATTAGTGAACTCATCACGTCATTTCTAGGAAAAGTAAGATATAAATATCATTGTATTTATAGTGTATAGCATGTCCGGCGGACTCCGGCCAAATTAAGACAGTCTTTGCCCCAATTTTTGAGCAAATTAAAAATTTTTTTTTAAACCAAATTTTGTTGGAATCAACTCAGAATTTTTATGCAACATACATGTACATGTACATGTAAGTACATGTATAATATGTATGTGTATTAGAAAAGCTTATGAAAATGAAGAATTGATGTCCTTAATCTTGCATAATATTATCATTATTTATGTGCTTTAATTGTAGATCAGTTTTGGACGAGACTTTGAACAACAGCTGAGCTTTTACGTCGAAGCTAGGGCAGCCTTCTCCAACCTTGACGCAGTATTAATCTATTTGGTTCACGTAAGCTATTGCAGTGATAATAACGAGTTAAACTCTTATTTGTGTATTTATTCTGTTAGAATGTTAATCTCTTGGCTATGCAGACAAGGCTACTAGTGAAAGGGAATCACAATAGAAAAACGGCTTCGTTTGTCAGAGTAAAGCGAAAACTGTTGATTGACACTAACTATTCCATTTTTTTACCATCTCTAGGCTTGCATAGCTTATAGTTTTATTACAGTTCCGTCGATCGATGCCATCTTGTATCGTCTTAATCTTTATCTTATTTCGGGACGTGTTGCTGTCGCTAATGGAGCACTCTCACAAGGTACCCCTACTAGGGTACTATAGTATATAGTATATACAGTATAATAGTAGTATATAGTACACTAGACTAAATGTCTATTTTAATGTAATTACTATAATGTCATTAATGCTCTTGGTCTGATTCATAATGTGATTTGCTATTGTTAATTTGTCCTTGGTTTTCCTGTTTATTGCTAGGTGATGCTTTTTTTAAGGCTGCTGTTACTGCCTTGAAAGAAGTTCCACAATATATGGGTGAGAGAGGGAGAGAGAGAGAGGGGAGGGAGGGAGGGAGGGAGAGAGAGAGGGAGGGAGGGAGGGAGGGAGAGAGGGAGGGAGGGAGGGAGGGAGAGAGGGAGGGAGAGAGAGAGGGAGGGAGGGAGGGAGGGAGAGAGAGAGAGAGAGAGAGAGAGAGAGAGAGAGAGAGAGAGAGAGAGAGGAGGAGAGAGAAGTACACATACATGTACATGTATGACTGTTTTCTTCTTTAGACATGGATCACAGAAGACAATCAACTGAGGATTTTGCTCAATCCTTCTTTTGTAATTTATTCTCTACACTCCTTGTCATTCCAGTTAGCTATCAGACCACATGACTCTCATGTGACTTTACTTATTGTCTTAGGACAATCCTGATAGAGAGCCACTCCTCCTCATTAGATCAGCTCTTAATTCATTAGAGGATTATAATTGGCAAGTTATTAAATATGTTTATAAGTAATGGTTAATTAACAACAGGATTGAGAATTCTGATACAAAGTACAAGGTGTACTCCAGTGCCATCTGTCTGCTGGCTGCTGTCTGTCAGGTAACTATTTTTAGTAACACTATGATGATGTCATTCTTATCCTGATAATGTGTGAAATATTTTTTCTGCTGATTCTGTTTACATAGGACAAGTATCTATACAGCATTGATAAGGGTGAGTGGAGCAGAGTTGGGAGAATTTAAAGATTATTTTTTATTTTGTTTTTTTTTTAAGTTGACAGTAACGATGCATTGTATTCCGGAGAGAAAAAGTTTACGAATGAAGTCGTGTCATTAGTCAGTAAATTATTGGCAGTTATTTGGAATCATATTAAAGGGCTTACATCTCCTGATGATGTAAGCATTTAAACTCTCTCTCTCTCTCTCTCTCTCTGTCCTTCTATGTTTATCTCGCTCATGTTATTACTGTATCCTCCTCTTTTTAAAGGCTAAAAGACAAGCAAAACTTGCTCTAGGATTATTTGCAAGGTAAAAGAATGAAATTATAAATTATGAAAAAGTTTGGAGTTTCAGAATGGAATTATGAATGTTTGAGAGTGGAAATATGAGATTCTATCTTAACTACCTGTTGTATGTAGGCTGTCAGTCCACTCTGATGTTACTGATCCTGCTGTGTCTAAAATGTTAGTCAATATATGGAACATTGCCCAGAGAGAGAACAGTGGCCTTAGTGGTGATCTACTGGTAAGCTACCCATACCCACCATTCCAAGCACGAGGTGTTATTGTTATCTCAACAATAGGCAAGAATTAAGTCGTTAGTGAGTGGGCGTAAGGAATGTGCAGGACTGGCTGGAATGCTGGCTGTACCCACGGACACATTTTAACCTATGAACTATTGCAAATGGTGTTTTTGTGTAGTATGTTTTTGTTGAAATATTCGTACTTGTGTCTACATTTGTGTTTTGTTTTTGTTTGCTGTTGAATACAAGTGTAGTTTTGTGTGTGATGTGTGCTATTTTGATTGACAATGCTCTCTTATTTGTATAACACAGACTTTATAAATTATGTATTGTATTGAATGAAAATATTATTAATCAAGAATCAAGAGAGAGAAGGGGGATTTAAAGTCAATAATAAATACAGTTATGGTAGCAACAGCAAAGAAAATGGATATTGGATAAATAAATTAAAAAGACTAAGTTTATAATCACAGCGAGTGGAAGCAGCATGTGTATGTGTATGATTATGTGTGCCAGTTATTCAGTAAGGAAAGATAAACATGTTTACAGGTGTATGCTGTTGTATGGTAAAGTGGGCTCAATCCCTTTGGCCTGACAAACTTCACCCCACAGTCTCTTCAAGCAGTTGATCTCGGCAGTTATCGAATCAACTTCCTCCTTTAGCTCCTTGTTAGATTGGAGTAAAGCCATCTCCTGCTTTGTCAAGTTATCGAGCTCTTCTCTTTTCTTTTGCCTGTACCTAACTGCAGCAGTCTTGTTTTGTTCTTTCTTTCGCTCTTTCTTGTCCGTTTTTGACAATTTGCTCTTTCGTCCTCCTCTGCCCTGTGGAGTACGCTTTGGAGTGGGTGGGATAAATTGTTCAGGAGCTTGTTTTTGAGGCAAAGAGGGAGTGACAGGGAAAGGGGAAAGAGGAGGAGACGAGATAGGGGTGGAAGATATCGAGGATAAGTGTTGTGTCGAGTCTGGAGTGGCCGTGTCTTGTAGAGAAGAAATGATGTCGTTGACCTCTTGTTGTTCAGGAGGAGAGAGGGCACTGCTGCCAGTAGAAAAAGAGGAAATGGGAGAAGAGGGGAAAGAGGAAGAGGGTGTGTCCAAGAGAAGGTCCTGGGCTCCAGTGGGATTGAACTCAAAGAGGTCAAAGTCTTGATATGGTGCAGTGAAGTTTGACCAATCAAATGGCGTAGAAGTGTTATCTGAAATATAAATTTAAATTAATATCATCAAAATTTTATACCACTCACCATTGTAGAGGAGTGAAGAAGGGCAGAAAATTTCCTCATCCTTCAATTTGGTGCTGTACTGCTCAAAGCCCGTCTCTCCCTCCTGCTGGTAAAAGGAGAGGCCGAAGGGGAAGAGCTGGTCCTCCTCATCTGGGAGAAAAGGTCCGGGATAAGTCATCGCGGTCATCTTGTATTTTTCTGCTTATCTGCTTTCGAATAAGGGTCTGTCTTGGTATTAAAAGGGTTTCCATTTTAACGAGGGATGCCATTTTCAAGGCAGTAGAGAGCCGGAGAGGTTTCCTTTTTAAAATGAAGAGAGAAGTAAGAAGAGAGACTCTTCTTCTATGATGCCATCGCTATCTCTCACAGAGACAAAGACGGGGCGAGAAAGAGAGAAGTTGCTTGAAATTAAAAATGAATTTCCTTAATTGCTTTCCTTATAAGGAAGACGTAAAGTGGCTGATGCAATATTTGATGATATTCATGAGCACGTGCTAAGCGACGGGAAGTAGTGCTAAAATTTGGTTGGCCAGTCAAAGTGATGAATATTTAATTAGATTGAGCCCAGCCAACGCCCTTTTAAGGGGTGGAGCTAAAGTTGCACACGTGACATCATGAGTGAAGACTTTGTTCAATATCGTCTCTTTCCTCCTGTTACTCGAAAGGATTTGACTCTATTAGCTCTAAAATACAGTTCTGAACTCGAAAACTTATCATCAAAGCACGTATGGCACTATCAGTCATTCAATCTCTATCCAGCACCAGGTATGTGTAGTGTTATGATCGGTCATGATACATTATGCCTTGTAAAAATTTATATTGTAGATGAGCTCTTGCCTCAGTTGGTGGGATGTACATGTCATCGCGGTAACATAGAGGATGAGTGGTTTATTGTGTGGCTTTTGTTTGAGCTGTCAAAGAAAGAGAGAGACCTGGTCATTAGGTGAGGGGGAGGAGGAGTGGTTATCTCTCATGCTAAGTGATCTTTTTAAGTCTACTAAAAAACATGCTTCATGATATGAAGCAACTTTAAAAATTCATAAAAATCCAATTTTGATCAGAATTAGCTCAAACTTTCTACACAATATAAGAACATGTATACGTATCAGAAAAAATTATAAAAATGAAAAATTCTGTCCTAGTCATTTTTCACAAATTTTGGCAAAAGACCCTGTACTATAGTACAGGGACTTTGGCCCAATTTTTGAGCAGCTGTAAAAATTTGTAAAAAATTCAAATGTGATTGGAATCAGCTCAAACTTTCTATGTAACATAAGAACATGTATATGTATCAGAAAAAATTATAAAAATGAAGAATCCTGTCCTAGTCATTTTTGGCAAATTTTTGCCAAAGACCCTGTACTATAGTACAGGGACTTTGGCCCAATTTTTGAGCAGCTTTAAAAATTTGTAAAAAATTCAAATATGATCGGAATCAGCTCAAACTTTTTATGTAACATAAGTACATGTATATGTATCAGAAAAATTATAAAAGCTGAGAATTCTCTCCTTTTCATTTTTGACAAAATTTGGCCAAAGTCTCTGTACTATAATAGTATAGGGACTTTGGCCCAATTTTTGAGTAACTTTAAAATTTGTAAAAAAATCTAAATGTGATCGGAATCAGCTCAAACTTTCTATGTAACACAAGTACATATGTATATGTATCAGAACAAATTATAAAAACTGAGAATTCTCTTCTTGAGCACTATACTTTGCAAAGTCCATGGATTGAGTGGGTATTTATGTTTCTATTTTAGTATCACTGATGATGACGGGCAGTTTCTATTAATAGAATCAGCTCATTATTTACCTAAATGGTTAAAACCAGAAACAGCAGAAAACAGGGTAAAACCTATATTTGCTTTTAACTGGTTCTTGATTTTTTTCACAGGTGTACATTCAAGGCGGAGTTTTGCATGTAATACCTCAACCACAGACACCAGGGGAAGTCAGTCTTTTACCTGTGACCACACCCACTTTATCAGAAGGTGTGGCACTAATTCGTAACGATTCTATCAAAACAGTAGCATCTGAATCAATACAGCACTGCATTCACAAGAGACTAAGCAAGTATGCCAAGTGAAAACACTAATTATTAATATCTCACTCACTCTCTCTTTCAAGGTGTCCTCCTCCACTGCAAACTTCTCATGTATTCCTTCCTTTGCCAGTGGCTCATTTATTCTCAATTGATAAACAGTTAGTCGTGTCGTCAGCTCATGCATTGATTGAGCGAGACAAGCAAGACATGAAAGCAAGTTTACTCAACTAGTATTACCAGTTTGACTGGTTTTTATGGGCATTTAGGTTGCAGTTAAGTTGGATCATTTTTCACCAATGCAATATCCAATGGTTATGTCTGATGTAAGATTTAGTACATACATGTATGTGTGTATCAAACTATCAATATTATAATGATGGATTAATAGGTTCAGATGCCTCGCTTATTGTATGCGATGCTTTTACGTGAAACTGTCTCTCCTGGTCCCTCTACCGCTGGGGGTCAATCATTTGATCTTTCTTTAGCATCGCACACTCTTGGAATAAAACTAGTGAGTTAAGGAAACTAGTGAGTTAAGGAACTATAATTCCTCATCTTCTTCCCTTAGTCTTATGGTTTAGAGATACTGATATCAAGATACGGTTGTGGCTCTAGCAATGGAGGTAGTGGCGATAGCAGGAAATGGCTCGAATTTATGGCTAGTTTAAAGTTGAATGGCTACTTTGGTGATGAAATTGAAGGCTCAGCACGATATCAAGCATTATTTAAATCAGCTCGTGACTATTATAATAAGAATATCAGTGATAATGCAGAGAGGTGAGTTAGCATTAGATTATACAGTGTTTCAACCATGCATAGCTCTGTATTGGACAAAGCAAGCAAGGAAGCATGCAGTCTTTTATCTGATGGAGCTTGGTCTGAAGAGACTTTTAAGAACAAGACTCTACGACCACCAGATGGTATTAATAAGAATACTAATATTATTATTATTATGTCTCCTTTTACAGATGAGAGCTGGCTGAATGTCAGTGAGGAGCAGTTGGAGCAGCTTCTTGAAGAAAGAGCTGGTTTTACTCATAAAGTAAGTGTTTTAGAATTACAGCTACATGTATTCGACATTTTTTTGGCAGAATAAAGAAAGTGAATCTTGCCTGGGGCTAGAGGAGGCTAGCTTTGGAATAAAGACTTTTGTTGATCATGTCTCCTCTTTTGATGGGGCAGAGTTTCCCTGGTAAAAGAACTTGCATGATATAAGAATTGTTTTATTACGAGTATTTTGTAATAATAGGTCAGCTGATAATACTCAAGGGGTGAGTATTGATGGAGACGGATTTATTGAGACGCTTGAAAACATGTTAAGTGAGTTAATGGTGGTGTTAAGAACTAGAATTATTACACTGTGTGTTATTGAACAATTTTGCATGTGCAATCTCATTTTGTGCATTTTTAATAGACAAATTGCAAGAGCCATCAGATGATGAATATGAAGAAGACATATTGTCAGATGATGATATTATAGAGGAAGATGGAGGGAGTGAGGGTGAGGATATTAAAGACTTGATGGAAGAAATGGACAGGGAGTTAGCCAGTACCACTTTAAGTGATAGCTTCAGGAGAGCACCCGAAGAAGGAGAGGAGGATAAAGAGAAATCAAACAGGCAGGGAAGTGCTGGAGAAGAAGATGGAAAAGAGAACCTCCAGCCTCTGGATATTGATTATAATTTGCTCTCCAATCTAATAGACTCATACAATGAGAGCCTTGGGCAGGCTACACCGTCTTCCAACATGCTCAGAACTTTAGGAATATCTTTACCATCTGTAAAACAATTACAAAAATGATTACTGTTGAAGCTTTTAATGCCTCCTATGCAATACTAGCGCAATGGCAGTGTGGCAATTTTTCATTTAAAAAGAAGCTATCTTTCTGTAATATTTTAAATCATAAATTAATCATCATAATAATAATCATAATAATAATAATATCCACATAATATAATAACATTGAAATTAATATAATACACACAAATTATGCAGCGGTGGATGATATAAATTAAAATGGATCTCTACTAATAATTAAAACAGTTATAGCCCACTGTATGATGGAGAGCGTTGAACAGGAACCTTTGGCTGACTAGAAGCAACAGTACTGTCACTACAAGGAGATATCATGAGCATTACAATGTGGACATTCTATTGAATTACAGCAAGAGTACATAAGGCCTAAAGCTGTATCGTTTTCTAAGTATTATGTCCTCTTGGTTACAGGCAGCAGAAGCACAAATTTTGGCCAGGAAATACATGTACATGTACAATTGTTATACAGTCTTGGCTATGAGACAATTCTTAACTTTATTGTAAGTTATATTATACTGATGCATATACATGTCAGACTTGGGTCAAATACAACGTGGAAGTATTTAAATACAAATACAAATACTGTACAAAAACAAAAATACAAATACAAATACTGTTTTCAGCTTTGTATTTAAATACAATTACAAATACTGCATACATGTATTTCAATTACAAATACAAATACTTTCTTCTCAAGTATAGACAGTTATTAACTACGTAGTTTTATGAATTAATCAATCAAGTAAATTGAAAGCCTCTTTTCATTATGCATGCATGTATAATCAATAATATTTAGTTATAGTCATGTATTGCATTTAGTGAACGTTAGTGTTTCAAAATTTTGTCACTCAAACAGCATCTTCATCCACATTGAAGTATTTTAAAGTATTTTGCTGTATTTTGAAATACTTCCCTGCTGTATTTCAATTGCAAATACAAATACTTCCTGTTGCAAAAACTCAAATTACAAATACAAATACAAATACTTTCAAAAGTATTTAAATACGACTAATTACAAATACTATTTGTATTTGACCCAAGTCTGATACATGTACATGTACATACAGTTTTAAATGACTTCCAATGTAAAACTCACTCAAAGAAAGGTAGGATTTTCAAGAACTGTTCCTTGCTCATCCCTTCAGTGATGAAGGCCGTATTGACACGACCATCTCTTCTCTTGATGACAGGCTGAGAGCAAAGATCAAGGACAGACCTCAGATACTGCTGGAGCCTCTTCCTCCTTTCCTCTATCACCTGTGAGCCCTAAGAGACATTACGTAACTACCGATTATAAAGATACTACCTCACCTTGTTCCTAATCGCTTTCTTTGGTGGGAACGTAAAGTCTTCCATGCCTTGAAGATTCTTGAGCAGTTGCTTGTGAAACTCGTACATTTGAGCATAGCGCCTGTACACGTTCCATTCCTCACTCCCCAGTTTCACATACACTTGGTACGCATGATGTGCATCTGGTCCACGCCCACGCTTAATCACAGATGGTATCCAGACCTCCACGGTTCTAAAACAACAAACATGTTAGTATACTGTATACATTTAAATTTTCAAGTGTTTAGCATTTTGTTTTCAATGAAATGTGCTCAAAAATTAATATTCCTGTGAGCTAATTTTCGTGTTTTGGCCATAGTCTACATACACTAGAATGGCATTAGAGGTGGTTTGAATTTTGTGGATTTAAGGTGAGCACGAAAATAACGAAAATTACCACACCACGAAAATTACCGCATATATGGTGTATAGATGTACATATACATATGCATCATTCATGGTACTAACTTAGCTGGTTCCAGTGCTTCCCTTGGTAGTAGATCAGGGGATACAGGCAGTGGTATGTTTGCCAGTTTGAGTGTTCTCACTAATTTAATGATGATGTTGTTCTTGGTCTGAGTCGACTTGTGTAGGTGCTCGTTAAACTCCATTAACTCGCCGTACATCTCAGCCATCTGGACAGGAAGAAGAGACAAGGAAATGACAATATTAAATTACTACTACTAATTTTAAGCATTTTTATACGCAGTATTAAGGTTTGGCTCTACTAAATTTAACATTTTTCTTTAAGTTAACTATTACTATATATAATTAATAGCATTTATACTGTATGGTATTGTGCTTTTCATTAGGGTTTTAAAAAATCCCACTAAACTTTACGTAGTCATATTACACTGCAATATATATGTACATCCAGTTTCTTGCTCCTCTTACTTCTACTAGCTTTTTGCTTGTTTGCTCACTCTCTGTCTCTTCGTCTCCGTCTCCTTTTCCTTCTCCTCCTTGCTGCTGCTTGACCATTCCAACATATCTCTTTAGCTGTTCTCTCAATAAGTCGTTTTCTCTATAAAAACAAAAATTATTAAAAATTTATAACTCAAGCATCTTCCATCAGAATCAGCTCAAACTTTCTACATAGCATAAGAACATCAATATGTATCAGAAAATGTAATAAAAATTTGGGGTGATTTCAGAGCCTTTGCTTTTTTTAATTTTTTCATTTTTTAATTGCTCATAACTTGAAAATTATCAGCTCAAGCTTTCTACAGGGAATAAGGACATCAATATGCATCAAAAATTGTAATAAAAATTTGAGGTGATTTTGGAGACGTTTTCAGAAAAAAAGTACCGTGTATTTTTCAAAAAATTGATATTAAAAAAATGTCATAACTCAAACTTTCTACATAGCATTAGGACAATAATAAAACCAATTTTAGGTAAAAAAAAAAACATTAACAATATTTCACCTTTCCAGTGACTGCTGCTGCTGGGTATGTGCTTCATCTGTGCTATTCAACTTCTGCTGAACTTCCTCCAATTCCTTTTCCAGGTTCTTAACCCTCTCTCTCTCCACATTCAGTTCCTCGAGTGTAGCTTTCTGTGACTCCTCTATGCTCTCCTTGCTCCTTGCAAGAGCTCTGAGTGCTTCTTTCATTTCACTTTCACTCATCCAACCTCCACCACCACCTCCTCCACTGATTTCTGTTGGCATAACCTGACGTTAGGAATAAAATACACAAAAACAGCTAATGAAAACTAATCAGTAGTTTTATCAATAATGCTAATAATAACATGGGAGAGTAATTCGTATGCAATATAATATGATAAACTAATTGTAATAGTAGTAATAATAATAATAATAATGATGATAATAATAATAATAATAATAATAATAATAATAATAGCATACCGTGGGTATTGGTGAAGGATTGTGAGATGAGGGTAGAGACTGAGTGGCCAGGAGTGCCCCCTCCAATGCATTGAGGGCAGAAGAAGACGAAAATGACGAAGGATTGAACAGAGTTGTGTATCCCATCTCGTCAGAATAACTATGAACACTATCAACAGGAGAACAACTCCCAGTTCCCCCTCCCCCTCCTCCTCTGTCATCCTCTCCCTCCTCCTCCTCTCCTTCAGGGGATAGACTAGGAAAAGGGTAAGCCACACCCACAAGAGGCCGATCACCATACTGATGAGTGCTACCTGAAACTGGACCAAGATTACATACATCACTAGGTAGAACAGACTCGGGGAAAGGATTAGTAGGGGTGTCAATGTCAAAAGGATTAGTGGCAGTGGGGGTCTCATCAAACGGATTGATGGGCGTGGCTTGATTGATTGGGTTTGTGGGCGTGGTCTGATCAAGTAGGTTAGAGTCCGGAGACGGTGTCTTTTTCTTTTTCTTTTTTCCTTTCTTGTTGCTAATGGCGACCACGTCGTCATCTTGAGGGGCGGAGCCCATTCTCAAAGCGAATGATGGTTTAATGGAGGCGGCTACCACAGAGGAGGAGGCTGGCTGTAGGGCGGAGTCAATTCGAGGAACCTCAAAGGTCTTCAAAGGAGAATTGAGATAGTCGACGTCAAACGCAATAGAAAATATGATGGAGCTAAGACCTGGAAATGAAAATATTTAAATAATTTGAGACATTATGGGGGAGAAGAGGCTAACCAGCAGCCATGACTGGTAGCATTGTCCCCCTCTCCTCGTCCATGACAAACGCATGAGGCTCGTAATGGTTTCTAAAAATAGAAACTAAGAGGTTGTCGTGACAATAAACCACACCTACCTCAGGTGATTACGATCCGAGAGCAAAGTCTGCATGTAGTTTTCTAGCGTTCGCTCATTGATCGAGCCTCTAAGCCACGCCCTCCCTCTTCCGATATCGGTAGTGATGAAACGTAGACAGGCAAACCTTTCTTTCTCCTCACTGCTAAGTAATGGACGAATGGCTGGCCAGAAGGCAATGCCCGTAAGATTATCGACCTTACCAAACCCTCTAGAAGGAGAGAGAGGAAGGAAGAGAGAAGAGGAAGGGAGAGAGTGAATAGAAAGGAGAGAGCCATTATTAAATAAACAGTAAGGGAAGGAAACATGAGATAAAGAACAACTGTCATAACTGTATCAATTTATGATCATTGTAAAGATTACAATAGCTTAGTTGTCTTTGGTTTTTTGAACCCATGACTCAGGACAGCCTCCCATTCGAGGCAGAGGGTGTTGACACGTAAATCGCTCTCACTGGCTACCTCCTGCCTCGCACCAAAATGAGTCTGACACTGTAGAGAAAAGCAAGGGAGGGAGGGGGAAAAGAAAGATGGTCATTAATTTGAGGTTTTTGCATACTCAGCACCTGTTTAACTGCATCCAACAATCTGTCCTGCAAATTCTGCTTAATTGAGTTTTCATGACCTGCAATAAGACACAACACTTAATAGCCACACCCATTAAGAAATGCAGAGCCCTTACCTTCCATGGCTAGGGACTATGATCCAGTAGGACATAGTCCAATAGGAGAGGATAGTAGTGTCTCTCTAAGGGCTACTCCAGCCACTCTAGCTCTCGTCTTTCTCTTGTCTTTGATTGTTTTTGTTGCCTCTCACTGCAGGTGTGTCACTGGAATACTTGGAAGTTAATGGGCGTGGCCGAGCGTTACAGTTTTAAAATTATTTTTCCTTTCGTTTAATTAGAGGCATAACCACATGGCATCAGCTGAAGAAGACACTGAATTGTCTGGAACTGAGAAACAAATTGAAGAAGATGGAAAGAGTGAAGGACTCACCTTCTCTGACATAGTAAACAGTTGGTATGTACTGACCCTGTTCATTTTCGTAGGGCATCACTTCAGTTTTGTGTCAATCATGTGAAGAAATGGGCTGGACCACTCCCACAGATATACAGAGAGAAGCAATACCAGTAGCACTGGAAGGTAATGACGTATACTTGAAATATTTCATGGTCCAAAATTATCACAAATTAAACCAATAGATATAATTCCGTGGCTTGTGATTTGGGCAATTTTTGGGAATTTTTTGCCGTATTTAATTTTGTGATTTTTCATTGAAATTTTGGGCTAAAAAATTTTTTTTGATTCAATAAATTATTTATTAAAGTATGCCCATTGTATAGGGAGGGATGTTATTGGCCTAGCAGAAACTGGATCCGGTAAAACTGGTGCTTTCTCTCTTCCAATTCTCCAGTCGCTATTGGACACACCCACTAGACTATTTGCACTTGTTTTGACACCTACAAGGTAGGTGTGTCTCAGTATCACATGACGCATGTACAGTACATGTAGGGAATTGGCTTTTCAAATATCGGAGCAGTTTGAGGCTTTGGGTGGTAGAATAGGAGTCAAGTGTGGTAAGTGAATCCACTACATATGGAGAGTCTCTCTCTCCCTCTTGCAGCTGTTGTAGTTGGAGGAGTGGACATGATGACACAGGCATTGGCACTTGCTAAGAAGCCTCATGTTGTAATAGCAACACCTGGCCGCCTTGTTGACCATCTGGAGAACACAAAGGGGTTCTCCCTTCGTTCAGTAAAGTACCTAGTGATGGACGAGGCTGATAGGATTCTTAATATGGATTTTGGAGAAGAAGTAAAATGATTTCAACTCTCTTTTTTTCTCTTTTTTTAAATGAATTTTTGAGTTTTTTTTTTCTAATAAAGGTTGATAAGATATTAAAGGTGCTCTCACGGGAGAGAAGGACTTATCTTTACTCTGCTACAATGACAAAGAAAGTTCAGAAACTTCAAAGAGCTTCACTGCATAATCCTATAAAGGTTGAAGTATCTACAAAGTGAGTTTTGATTTCTATTAACTTAAAAAATTCATAAAAAATCAAATTTTAGTTGGAATAAGCTCAAACTTGCTACACAACATAAGAGCATGTATATGTATCAGAAAAAAATTAAAAAGCTGAGAACTCTCTCCTAGTCATTTTTGGCAAAAGTTGGCCAAAGACCCTGTACTATAGTACAGGGACTTTGTCTCAATTTTTGAGTAACTTTAAAAATTTATAAAAAAATCCAATTTTGATTGTGATTAGCTCAAACTTGCTACACAGCCTAAGAACATGTATATGTATCAGGAAAAAATTTTAAAATGGAGAATTCTCTCCTAGTCATTTTTGGTGAAATTTGGCCAAAGACCCTGTACTATAGTACAGGGACTTTTGGCCTGATTTTTAAATAACTTTAAAAATTCAAATTTCATCGGAATCAGCTCAAAGTTTTTCACAGCATAAGTACAAGTATATCTATTAGGAAAAAGATATAAAAATGGAGAATCTCTCTTCTAAATTCTAAATTCCTAAATTCTCTCCTTTAAATTCATATTCATGTAAATACAGGTATCAGACTGTCGATAAGTTACAGCAAAGTTACATATTCATACCAAGCAAGTATAAGGTATTGTACATCATTTCTCTCAACGTCGTGAAGTTATTCTCTTTTTTTGAATGAATGGATGTCCCTCAGGATTGCTATTTGGTTAGCATATTGAATGAGTTTGCTGGTAACTCCTTCATGGTTTTCTGTAGTACATGTGCTAACACACAGAGGTGATGCGTAGACCTATTATTCATTATATGTGCATGTATTTTTAATCCTCTTTCTGCAGGACTGCAGTTATGTTACGTAATCTCGGTCTGCCAGCTATTCCACTTTATGGAAAAATGGCACAAGTACAATAACATGAAAATACTGTATCCTCTTTAAAGGCCTTTCTACACTAGCACTTCTAATGCGCATTGAACTGGTTTGAAACTGGTTCCAGTCATTCCACACCTGATGTGCATTGACTTCAATGCATTAACCACCTCCATTTGTGGTTTGAATGCGTATTCAATAGATAACCAATGGCAGCTGGATCAGCCGACTTCTGGAACCGGTTCAAGTGTAGAAAGGCCTTTAGTCTTTTTTTTTATCTCTCATATCCTCTTTTAGTTTGTTTTTTTTAATCTCTCAGATGAAAAGGTTAGGAGCTTTAAGCAAGTTTAAGTCAAAGTCCCGCTCCATCCTCATAGCGACTGATGTTGCCAGTAGAGGGCTGGATATACCCCACGTTGATGTGGTCATTAATTTTGACATACCAACACATTCAAAAGTGAGTTTTAACAATTTAATTTTAGACTTATATTTATGTTTGATTTTATTATTAGGATTACATTCACAGAGTCGGACGAACTGCTCGAGCTGGTCGCTCCGGCCGGGCCATCACATTCGTCACACAGTGAGGCTCAAATTATTATTATTATTATTATTATTATTATTATTATTATTATTGCAAAAAAGAATTAGTTGGGCCATCACATTCGTCACACAGTGAGGCTCAAATTATTATTATTATTATTATTGCAAAAAAGAATTAGTTTAATGAAGGAATTAGTTTATTATTATTTTAAAATAAACAAATCCCCTCTTCAAAAGTTGCTTTGACTGGCCCTAACTACAGTTCAATAACACCATTACCAGGCTCTGATGTGGTCAGGTGTAGCTCCTAATCCTGCAAGGAAGCAACTGTTGTGGGCTTGTAGCCATTGGAAGAGAGTGATTCATCTTTTATTATTAATTCTTGCTACACCTACTGCACTATGCATACGCCTTTGGTAGCTTTTGATGTTTCAATGGATCAATGATGGGTACAATTTGTGAGTGCATGCCCAGTTAGCCTAAACAATTTAATATTATTAAGGATTGGGCCCTGAAGCTGTTGACAAGCTTGCATCAACAATATCGGGATTTCCAGTATCGTAAACAAAATTAAGAATGTACTACATGTAGTGTAGTGTAGTAGTAGAGAGGATGCATGCACAAAAAGAAAATATGCAATGTATGTTATCCACCTGGTGGACTTGTACTGTATACTAAATGACGCCGTACTTGACATCATGTGCTGTATATGTACTTTGTTGTTGTCTGGTGACTTGTAGACTGGTGCAAGCCAAATAACTCCATACTTTACATAAGGCCTTTTCACACTGGCCAAAGTAATGCGCATTGATGTGCATTAATCGTGTTCACACTAGAGTGGTTTTGAATTAATGCGCATCACTCTCACTTCACCTCCAGAGGTGGATTGATGTGAAGTGATGTGAAGTGATGTGAAGTGATGTGAAGTGATCAATGTAAACCAATGGCAATAAGAACACAAAATAATACATAATTCAGCTGCTAGTGTGAACACTATGAATGCACATTATTTCAGCTGTATCATAGATATGTACCAGATATGTTCCTGGTACATATCTATGGCTGTATCATCAAAGCGCTTTGAAAACTGCCAGTGTGAAAAGGCCTTTAAACTGATGGCAACAAGAACACAAAATAATACATGATTCAGATGCTAGTGTGAACACTATCAATGCGCATTATTTCAGCTGTATCAACAAAGCACATCAAAAGCGCTTTGAAAACTGTGCCAGTGTGAAAGGGCCTTTAGATAAGTCGGTTTCAAACCGCATTGAAATTGTTCACACGTAAACTGGTTCATTTTTCAAACCGGTTTCAAACCACTTTGTGGGCATAGTGTAAATGGGGCTATATACTTTAATTTGTGTATAGTTTTTTGATTGTTATTATTATTTTTAGGTATGATGTTGAGCTCTATCAGAGAATAGAGTCTCTTATAGGTAAGAAGCTACCTTTATTCCCGACTGTTGAGGAAGAAGTACTGAGTCTGGCCGAGAGGGTAGCAGAGGCACAGCGATATGCTAGGATGGTAACAGTGTTTGACCACACCCCCTAGTAATTAATTTGTAGGAGATGCAGTCCGAGGGAGGTCGGAAGAAAGGGAAGGGTAAGGCTGGAAGAGAAATGGAGGAAGACAGTGAAGAGATGGAGCTACTCCCAAAGAAAAGAAAGAAGAGAAAATAGTGAGATTATATTAACAATAAACATTATCATTGTAAAGAGTTTAATGAATAATAGAAACCTGACAAAATCAATACTTATTGTATATTTAATACTGTTTGAATACTGAAAAACCGATAATAACAATATAACTGTGTCTACTATAGCACTGCTACTTTTGTCCAAGTTTCAACCACTTTGGTATTTTCTTGCCACTCCCACTAGCAGCAGATTGACCACTCTCCCTTGAGGCCGAACGATTACTAGCATTAGCTTCAGTTGATGGGCCAGTTTCTTTTAATAGAGGATCATTATCTTCACTAGAACCACTTGGGTCATCTTTTTTAGAATCACTCCTAAATGAAGGGAAAAAAGCATAATTTTCACAAGTGTATTTCTGATTACCTTTTCAGCTGTGCAACTACTTCAGCTTTATCAGCAGTACTGGAGTACTGACTGATACTATCAGCAGAGAGGATAGGGGAGGAGTCACCCTGCCCTCCTCCCTCTTCGTTAAATCCAAAATGAATATTGGCACCAGGAACAAAACCAGCTTCACTCAATGTGAGCCGTCCGCTCTTTAAGACTGTCTTAGGAGGCGTGGTATCTAGTCAACAATAAGAGGCCGTGCTATGTAGCTGACATTGTGTCCTTAAACTCACAGAGATGAAACTTGACTTGAGGATTTGGCAAATGCTCGCGAACAAACAAGACTAGAGCTCTCACTAAAGAAAGAGTTAAAAACAGTTTTAAATGAATTTTAAAATACCTGGTTCTTCGGTGTTAAAAACTCCCTGGAGTACCCACTGGTCGGGGAATATTATTCTGATCACAGTCTGACTGTAACTACTTGACTTTTTAAGCTTTTCTTTTGCTGCTTGAGTTAGCAATGGAGCTTCATTAAGCTGCTTACTGTATTGATATTTTATTAAAATATTAATACAATGTAGACTCTCTCTCTCTCTTTCTTACACTTGTTGTCTCAAATCATGCTGTATCTTCATTGCATCTTCTATTGTCACTTTAAAGAAATCATCACTCACTTCTAGAGATGCAAGTACAATGTATATAATAATAATAATAATAAGGTTTAGAGTCAAATCTTGACTCACCTACATTGGGTGTGGCTGATACAGAATCAAGGTGATAGATTACTGTATCTCGTGAGCAAGGATCCTATTGAAAATTATTTTAAAATTATCATTATTATCATTATCATTATTATTATCATTATCATTATCATTATTATTATTATTATCATTATCATTATTAT